CTATCTATCTATCTATCTATCTATCTATCTATCTATCTATTTATTTATTTATGTATCTTTTTTCTTTCTTTCTTTCTATATACCCATCTATCTATATATCCATTCATCTATCCACCCATCCATTTATCTATCCATTCATCAATCTACCTAATTATCTATCTATCTATCTAGATTTATACTCTACTTCCGTTTTCTGCAAAAATGCAAAGAACGTAAAGAATAGTTAACGAAAGCATGATATACCTCATTATGTAGATAAAATAAGGTTATTAGTAGGTTGTGTTACAGCCGGCCACCTTTTTTGGCTCAGGGTCTAGGGGGTCGGAGTCATGCCTAATAGGAACAATGAGAATTCCTCCGAAAGACGAAAGAACGAATTTTTATGCCTTAGTATACTACGATACCCTCCTACTCCTTTATTAATGATTGCACCTTCGGTAGCTTTAATGCAACATTTGGGCTAGAATTTGCCTCAACTCCTGTCTTTAATACTAAATTGGGTCATTCTACGTCGCTTGACGGTATGAAGGGACTGAAATTTGGATATCCTACAATAAAATTTGTATATGGCATCAAGATAACTTTGACTTTCACTAAGAGTTGCCTCCGAAAAATCATTCTTCCCCCTACTGGGCAGCAGATTTAATTATATGTGGGTCTCCTCATCAACTGGATTTACAAACAGACTTTAAGAAATAAACGTAGCCCTACAAAACCGCCACACAGCTATTGGTTCGGGTAGACTGCAGGTCGAGCTTACCCCAAACCCCATTTATAATGTAACTGGTTTCGATAGAGCAAAATTGTTTTGCCACTACATCTAACAACACTACTGTATGCCCGATGAGTAGTTCTTGAATCCAATTAGTTGTGTCAAATTTGGTGGCAACCTGAAACTTTCACTCATTTTATTGAGGGAAACTCAAGCATCAGTCTTTAAATCATCCTCAAAGAAAAGGGATAATTCAAGTTCATATTCAAGATCTACTGACATTTTCGAAGCGTACTCACTCAGAATATTCCATTGCTGGTTTGTCTGAATATAGGAGGCAAATTGAAGTCGGTCATGATCAATCGGCAAAGTGCAGTTCAAGAGGTTCATTTGGTCAGTGAGTACTAATGTATCAAGTACAGCATAGTAGCCACAAAAATATCCAAAGTGGACAGGAGCATTACTATGTTGATCTATCATCTTCAGTTTTGCGAGACTCAGGCCCTGAACGTTAGGCTTAGATAACTTGTTCAGGATGCGTACGTGACAAGTAAGGATTTACAAATGAATTTTATCTACTTTAAGGAATCCATCATTGATTAGGCTTTACAACTCTCTTGCATAGCGAGGATGTCGCCAAGACAAACATGTATTTGTCATTTCAATCGACAAGGTAATCTGTTTTCCATGTTTGCATACTTTGCGTACCTAAGTACTTCTTGAATAAGGCTTGACGTGATTTATAAGTTAATATTATGATTTTTCCTTCAATTAAATGAATAATTTGCAGTTGCATCTTGGATCCTACTGACGGCACTTCGGAAAAACTTCCATTATCAATCTTTAAGTAGACTTACGCTACTTTAGGTAGCCAATGTCTAAGTTAGGCATTAACTATATCCCGAAACATACTCACATCTAGACCTTCTGCAAGGAATTGCTATTTGTCTGCTTACGCCTTGTTAAACCGACACCTGAGATAGCATTTTAAGCCAAGATAGCAGGTATGGCGTCAAAGGTTCTGGTGTTGGGGCAAAGGGCCGATCCGGACATAGCTCAAAAGATCATCGCAACTCCTTTTAGAGAGTCGTTGAAAATGTAGCTTGAGTAACCTAAACTCTGTTAACCGGCCATTAAGGGTAATACTGTATGGCAGAAATCAGTATTAATAAAATTATATAAAAAGTGGGTTGACTCTGAATTCTCATAAGATATAGAAAGCAACGGTCTATCTTCCGCAACTCCAACTTTTTGCCCCGACGGCACATTCGAATAAGCTTTACGCATGCAAACTCTGCGGCACACGCCAAACACTACACAAACATGAGGCAACTTACAGCTCTCCTACAATACAGGGCTTTTCGACATCTACCTCCTCTATTTCTTCATCTTCTGCAATCCACTCGTCATTTGGAGGATCCTTTTCCATTTCGTCCGATTCATTTTCCTGATCTGACTCCTCCTCTTCGGCAAGCTGTGCTTTTCCGAATCTGTACCAGTAGTTATATTCTGCATACTCGTCAGAATTGAATGCATGCCTGGATTGCATTCGATTCTTTTGCCAAGCATCTGCTTTATCATCGTCAAACGTGTAGAATTGATGGCTAAGAAGCGTGGCCTTGTCAACTAAATAAATAATTTTTTTTAATTAAAAAGACTAATATTAAGTCTTCAAATGGCCGAGTGATCCACAGATGCTTAACTAGAAGCAGATCGCTTCGGCCATCCTGAAGCAAAAAGAAAATTCAGATTCAGCAACTACAAATACTGAAGCTTCTGGTGGGACCTCAACTGTTTCGATATGCATCATTTTATGTGGTGGAATGGCACAACAGGATGGTGCGATCTCAGCCCGATAAGTACCTCTTTTTTGTTACCGACGTGTTGCTGGGAGTCGGTTAATGTGGTAGTGCACCAGTTTCTCACGATGATATAGGATGCAAAACCCGGCGTTGCTTATCATTTATGAGTTTCCAAAGAGATTCGAACGCTGGAAGTTAGTAAATCCCTCCCTGACTCAAAGTGTTTCACGTGCGCCAATGTGTACAGCATCATTGTCATATCAAAGACTTAGTACTAACGAATGTTTGTTTAAAAAAGTATCCTCTGGTTTGCATTCACTCTTAAACTTTTTTTGTTTTTCCCACCAAAACCCTATTTTGACGTGATGATATGAGTAGTAGGCGAGAGAGAAGCTAAACTGCTTATAGGCAGATGTGCTAATGGACAAGCCAGAAATACATTTTCCTTGAGTGGTGAATAGTTTTGAAAATCAACTCTTTGGAAAAAGCTTTAGAATTTGTGGTCAGACAACTCACCTTGGTTTACGTCTTTAGGCTCGATTATCCAGGTGACGTCGATCTTTGCTTTCCACATACGGTATGAGATAATCTAGAAGCAAGGATTAAATCAAAGTTAAATAACAAAATCACTGGTTTGTAGTAAGTCTAAGGTGAATAAACTAAAGACTTTATTAGACGTGGGTTGACCTCGTTGTCGCAACTTGGTCTTGAGTTCAGGGAGACCATGTAGAATGAACCTAGTCCGAAGTCGTCTGCCATAGTAGTTGTCATGATTCCCGGCATCTGACAGTGGACTTGATACATT